GAATGCTGTCGGAGGTGTTTGACAAAACCCTCCCCCGTCATCCACAGGGCATCAGGTGGTTGAAGAAGTCCTGACCATACTGCACCACTTCCCCAAGCCTGAAGACCTGCAGGAGGTCGGAGAGGGCTCTGCTTGGCTGGCACGGCCTCCCGCCTTCGTCCGAGCTGTTGGCGCCATAGATGGGTGTCACGTTAGGATTCGCCCTCCTGCTGAGCCGTTGCGCACATGCTATGTAAACAGGAAGCGCTTTCCTCCTCTCCAACTACAAGGAGTTTGTGACCACAAAATGCGACTCATCGACACATAGGTTGGATAGCCAGGGTCAGTCCACGACTCCAGTGTTTCCTCTACACAAACAGTCTGTACCCGCCACCAGGATACTACCTCCTTGGGGACAGAGGCTATCCCTGTCTGGAGGAACCTATAGCCATCATCATGCCGTACAGGGAGCCAGTCCAAGACGGGCTGCAGCGTCGGTTTAATGCTCACCACACAAACGTTCGCTCTATCTCTATGATTGAGAGCGTCTTCGCGATGCTCAAGACCCACTGGAGATGCATCGTCATCAGAGCTCTGGAGATCCATCCTCGCCGTTGATGACCTCCTTGAGGTGGATCAGCAGGAAGAAGAGGATCCCAGGAAAGCTGTGGAAATCACCTCAGGGCCAGACTTACAGCCCACCCGTGTCCCTGCAGGATTGAAAGTACAATTCTCTGAATTTACTATGTTCCAGTTTTGACTGTCAAATATAGTTCAGCATCAAAGTTCATCATAAAAAGTAAATTCACTTGTCTACTTTTTGTTTGAATTGCTACATGGTTGTTATGATGTTATCAATATCTAACTGTATAGAGACACAGGGAACTGTGGATCAAGTTAACCCTTGCTTAATTAAAACATAACAATTTGAACTTTAGAATCGCTTACAAAAAAACCTAACTCACATCTCTCTCAAAACTCTCACACCTTATCTATACATTTGTCAAAAAGAGAGAGGAACATGTCCCATCTCCTTCCCTCTTCTCCTCTTTCTCCTGAGCCTCATTGTCCCCTCATCTCCTGCCTCTCTGAGTAAATCCAGAAGGTCCTCATTGTTCCTCTTCAGGGCTAGCTGCTTTCTCCCTAGCCTCCTGAGCCCAGGGGGAGACCAACACACCACCAGCCTCTGCATTAATGGATGCTGCGACCAGAATGGGAGCCGCAATAGAGCCCCCCCCCCCCCCCCCCCAATCGTCTCATCCATCAATGTATAGAGCTCCCACGTCTCTGCAGTGAGCTCCCCCTCAGAAGTCCGTCGGTGGGCTTTTCATCGTCTGAAAACACATACCAGTAGTATTTAGATACACTACACGTCTATCCCTGTCCATATTTCATGCAATTTGATATCCTTTGAACATGTAGTATGTAGAGCTCAGGTAACATATAAGCAATAGCTAAATCCATACCTTGTACTTTTTCTTTAAGTTTTCCCTTTTTTTTTCTTTGCCTGGGCAGCAGTCAGCTTCCCTCCCAGATGGAATTTGCTCAAACACTCTGAAACAAATAAAGCACAAGAGCCACTTAGTGTGATAATACATACTCCATTTTTTACACCATTTAACAGTATTGTATATTTGGACATGATTGACTCATTGATAACATGTCAGAAACAATTTCCTGATAGCTAATTTCACTCACTCCCATCCATTCTGCGCCGACTTCCTCTTCCCTGTGAAAAAGGCCTCGTTCTGACCACTCCACCTAATGAGGTGTTCTGCCATCTCGGTTGGCCTGTGAATAAATACATTTTTATTAATTTTAGGTTAGTCAGCAAGCGTAAAAGCTAGCAACTGATTCCCCCTAGCTAGCTAACGTTACAGCTGAACGATGGCTAAAGTTAGCTAACTAATGTTAACATTTTCTACATGAGGAAAGTTGTAAAAGTTAAAACAAGTCAATACTAGGGATAACCATCTATTGAAGCTAACTTATATGGCTATAAAACTTGGTTAGCTTTTTGTTAAGCACATGTAAAAACATAGTTACTTACATTTGAAAGACCTGGTCACGTTAGAGTCTGTACTTGTTGTCATCACTTCTTTCCATCATGTAGACCTTTTGAAGTGAAAAGGAGGTGCAGCGCTTTATTAGCTTTGCCAACTACTATCGGTTTATCCAGGGCTTTGGCAAGGTCGCAGCTCCCATTACATGTCACGCCCTAACTCTGGGGACTCGTATTTGTTGAGTCAGGGTGTGTATTTTCTGTGTGGTATGTTCTATGTTTAGATCTAGATCGTGTAGATCTATGTTGGCCGGTGTGGTTCCCAATCAGAGGCAGCTGTAGCTCGTTGTCTCTGATTGGGGACCATACTTAGGTAGCCTATTGGCACTAGTGGGTTGTGGGATCTTGTTCCGTGTTAGGTATGTTTGTTTTGTGTACCTTGGACGTCACATTTCGTTTGTTGTTTTGTCATTGTGTTTATTCGGAAAAATAAACATGTACGCATATCACGCTGTGCCTTGGTCCGTCCTGTCTGTAAAATAATGTGACATTACATCTCTGTTGAAGGGTGGGCCGTCCCGGCTCCGCTGGTCTGCTGAGGCTGACTGGGCCTTCTGTAACCTGAGGGGTCTGTTCACCTCAGCCCCGGTACTGGGCCACCCCGATCCATCACTACCGTTCGTAGTGGAGGTGGATGCGTCCAAGCTAGGGATAGGTGCTGTCCTATCTCAACGCTTGGGCACGCCACCCAAGCTCCGCCCCTGTGCCTTCTTCTCCAAGAAGCTCAGCCCGGCGGAGCAGAACTACGACGTTGGTGATCGGGAGCTGTTGGCTGTTGTTCGAGGCCTCACCGTGTGGAGGCACTGGCTCGAGGGGGCGAAACACCCTTTCCTCGTCTGGACGGACCACTGTAACCTGGAGTACATCGGGGCAGCGAGGAGGCTGAACCCTCACCAGGCCAGGTGGGCCCTATTCTTCACCCTGTTTGATTTTACTCTATCCTACATCCTGGGTACGAAGAACGTGAAGGCAGACGCACTGTCAGGCTGTACGACACAGAGGAGAGGCCCAGAGACAACACCCCCATACTGCCGGCCTCCTGCATTGTGGCGCAGGTAGTATGGGGCGATGGACGCGGATATAGAGCAGGCGTTACACACAGAGCCATCTCCACCTCAGTGTCCAGCTGGACTGCAGTACGTGCCAGCTCTTGTCCGTGAACGTCTGATCTACTGGGCACACACGTCCTCCCCACTCTGGTCACCCAGTTATCGGTCGTACAGTGCGCTGCCTGACCGGAAAGTACTGGTGGCCTACCTTGGCTAAGGACGTGAGGGTGTATGTCTCCTCCTGCTCGGTGTGCGCCCAGAGTAAGGCACCTCCCAGCGGGTAAGTTACAGCCTTTACCAGTTCCACAACGGCCATGGTCTCACCTAAGTATTGATTTCCTTACTGATCTTCCCCTCTCTCAAGGTAACACCCCCACCCTGGTTGTTGTGGACCGCTTTTCCAAAGCCTGCCGCCTCCTTCCTCTGCCTGGTCTCCCCACGGCCCTGCAGACTGCGGAGGCCCTGTTTACACACGTATTACGGCACTATGGGGTACCAGAGGACATACTATCTGACTGGGGTCCCCAGTTCACATCCTAGGTCTGGAAGGCATTCATGGAACGTCTGGGGGTCTCGGTCAGCCTGACCTCTGGTTTCCACCCCGAGTCTAATGGGCAGGTGGAACGGGTAAATCAGGATGTGGGTAGGTTCCTGCGGTACTACTGCCAGGACTGGCCGGGGGAGTGGTCGGTGTTCTTGCCATGGGCCGAATATGCCCAGAACTCTCTCTGTCACTCCTCCACTAACCTAACGCCATTCCAATGTGTTTTAGGTTACCAACCGGTTCTGGCACCGTGGCACCAGAGCCAGTCCGAGGCTCCTGCGGTGGATGACTGGTTTCGGCGCCCGGAGGAGACGTGAAACGCTGCTCACAATCACCTCCAACATGCAGTGCGTCGTCAGAAGGCCAACGCTGACCACCACCGCAGTGAGGCCCTGGTCTTCGTACCGGGGGATCGGGTCTGGCTCTCGACATAGAATCTGCCCCTCCGCCTGCCCTGCCGGAAGCTGAGCCCGCGGTTTGTGGGGCCGTTCAAAGTCCTGAGGAGGATAAACGAAGTTACCTATAGGTTATTACTACCACATGATTATCGTATTAACCCCTCGTTCCATGTGTCTCTCCTCAGGCCGGTGGTGGCTGGTCCGAACCAGGAGTCTGAGGTGTGGTTGGTCCCTCCGCCTCCTCTGGACATCGAGGGGGCCCCGGCGTACTCCGTCCATTCCATCCTGGATTCGAGGCGTCGGGTGGGGGGCCTTCAGTACCTCGTGGAGTGGGAGGGGTACGGTCCGGAGGAATGGTGCTGCGTCCCAGTGAATGGTGCTGCATCCGGCTCGCCCTGCTCCGCGTCCTCCTGGCCGTTCCCGAGGCACTGTACTGGTACTGTCACGACTTCCTCCGAAGCTGCCTCCTCTCCTTGTTCGGGCAGGCTTCGGCGTTCATCGTCACCAGCCTTCTAGCCACTGCCGCGTCACATTCTCATCATTCCATTTGTTTTGCCTTGTCTATTACACACATCTGGTTCATATTCCCTCATTAGTACGTGTAAAAGAGTTCCCTCTGCCCCCTTGTCCTTGTGGGTGATTGTTTAGTGTGAGGAGAGTGTAGCTCGGTTGAGCTCCGTGTATTTTGTATTGCCGGGGTATATTTTCCCCGTGTGCCTGTTTGGTTCCAGTGCGCCTGTTTTGCACACTGGACTGTTTGACGCAATTCTGCGTAACTCTGTATTCCGGAATAAACTCTGTATTCTGTGATTTACCCTCCTGCGCCTGACTCCTTCAAATCACACAGCGAACAAATGAGACACCTGAGTCATTGACTTGAATTATTGCCTCTGTCTGAAAATTAGTTCCTACAGTATATTCTGACAAGTTGAGGGGTTCTGAGCTTACTATAAAATATTTGATAGTACCTCTGGCTTCCCAATGGCCAACAGCTGTTTCCTCACACCTTTGGCAATGTGACACAGGTTGTACTCATGCCAGATGAGGATAGGAGTCCCTCAAGAGCACCCTGACACTTGGTCAGTGGCCAAGGTTTCAACAATGCATCCATGGGCCTGTTAGGGTGATAATAACGATGTCTTGCTACTAAAGTGTTCTAATGTAACCTACACATTGCATAACAATATGAATTGCCTTCAACAAATAATAAAATAGGTTATAGCTTACTTCATCTCTCTAATCCCTCCGTCTCCAACCAGTAGCTGTTCTTCACATCGGTCACATGCACAGTCTCCTGGTGCGAGGATCAGGTGGGAAGCAGAGTCCAGGATGGTGTAAGAGCCAAAGGAGGCACAGTGGCCTGGCGAATCACAGCGTGCGTCTCCGTATACAATCAGTGGACTGTCACCAATTGAAGCCAGAAAGGCCTCCGTGTGCTGGGTCAACATGTGGTTAACCTCTGGCACAATGTAGAGACGCTGTGTGTTGGTGAACTGTCGCCACTACATGGACACCAGGCTGAGGAGGTGACAAGTTTCCACAAATGTGGCGCGGGAGCAGCCAGTAAGGAAGACCGCTGATGGCACCAAAAGATTCCTTGCAAACAACTTTCCCACTCTGGTCTGGGACTCCCACTTCCCCCCAGTGGCCCACAACACACTGTTCCCATGGTGATGGCAAAATCACTTCTGTTCTGGGATGAACTGATGACACCTGCTCCACATCCTGGCTCATGGCAGACATTGAACAGCTCCTTCATCTTGTTCATTCAGTCTGTCAGCTCCTCCATGATCTGTGGTGGAAAGGGGCAGGGCTCGGTCATATACAGATGATTGTGAGCGCTGTGTAGCTGGGCCTCCAGCTCTGTAGTGATGGTCCCGGTGGACCTCTTATCCACCGCAGCACAAGGACACTCTGGGACCCAGGGTTCAGTTTGGCAAGCAGTCCTAACCATTCTTTCCTGTTTGTAGAAAAAAAGGAAGGCAGTTGTACTAAGCTCATGGTAAGGTATCTATTAAGCTATAGCTACAGTATATTCTTCAAGAATCACTATATTCTCAATTTTATATCCAAAATGGCTTCAGGAATGACATATTGTGGCTTGAAATGAAAAAAAATAGCTTAGAAATAACATGTACCTCTTCTGACTCCTGCACACTCTCCACGGTCTCCACCAGGATGAAAAACTTTTCCAGGGATAATGATGTCATCTTGAAAACAAACGTCTACAGAACCCAAATATATCAGTTGGTTGTAAATGTGTTATGCACGCACACAAACACATAATATGTCTAATGTACACACAGCAGAGAAAATACAGGGAGTGACATTTCTTTTTCAGCAAACATGGCAACTTCAGTCTAGCTATCTAAGGTGGCGCTAACAAAAGCCAGGTAGCTAGCTAGGTAGCAAAACGTCTTCACAGCTAACATCACTACCTAACATTAGCTGCTGCAGGCCAAAACAAATCTTGCGCCGCCTCCTCCATTCATTCCTTGACACTGAAGTTATTGATGTTGTTGATGATGGTCGGTCAGTAAACCCCACACCGTTCCCCTCGAAGTTGAAGATGGAGGAGCAAGAAATGTTTGACTTGTTTCCGATCGGAAACTCCCGCTTGCGACATCAAAAGTGCCCTTCAGCAAAGTCCTCCTCGGTGAAGGGCTGGCTGCAGACCCTGTCTTAAGCTGGCACGTCCTTCCTCTTCAGGACCTGGAGCCACTTTTCCCAGTTTTGTGGGTTCTTGGGTATCCAATGGTAGCTTACACAAGGACTGTTTTTGTAGCAATTTGTACAGCCTGGGGCTATACAGTTCACATTTGAATTACTTGTCGCAATCTTCATCGTCCACTGCTCACTTAATACCACAGACAATTGGTTCACTCCTACCAATGACACATTGGCGTCAGTCATTACCATGGCAATTTAAGATGGCGCTGACCATAGCTCAAATAAACGTTGTTCAAGATTTTAAAAAAATACAAAAATAGAAATGTTTCTGTTACATGCACATGTTTAGTATTAGTGGACAGAATACATCTTGTTGCTTAGGTTTACTTCCTAAAGTGTCTCCATTCTCCTTTAAGTGCACCAAGTGATGTGATCTTCTGGCAGGTTGCAGACTCAACATAGTCCCCATTGACTAGAAGCCAAGTGTAGGTGTTTTTTTTTTACTGTCCAAATGATTGGATAGCCTCTCTGCTTGCTTCCTCTCTGTCTCTGCCTCCTCCTGCATTGCCTCTGCCTCATCACCACTGTCTGTTAAAGCAACGTTTTTAACCCCCTAGAGTTGATGTCCGCACCCCCGCGGAAATCTACACTGAACAAAAGTATTAACGTCACATGTAAAGTGTTGGTCCCATGTTTCATCAGCTGAAATAAAAAATCCCATACATTTTTCATACATACAAAAAACATATTTCTCTCAAGATTTGTGGACAAAGTTCTTTACATCCCTGTTAGTGAGCATTTCTCCTTTGCCAAGATGATCCATCCACCTGACAGGTGTGGCATATCAAGAAGCTGATTAAACAGTATGTTCATTACACAGGTGCACCTTGTGCTGGGGACAATAAAATGCCACTTTAAAATGAGCAGTTTTGTCACACTACACAATGCCACAGATGTCTCAAGTTTTAAGGGAGCGTGCAATTGGCATGCTGACTGCAGGAATTTCCACCAGAGCTGTTGCCAGAGAATTTGATGTTCATTTCTCTACCATAAGCTGCCTCCAACGTCGTTATAGAGAATTTGGCAGTACGTCCAACCGGCCTCAAAACCACGTGTAACCACGCCAGCCCAGGACCACCACATCTGGCTTCTTCACCTGCGGTATCGTCTGAGACCAGCTGATGAAACTGTGGGTTTGCACAACCAAATAATTTCTGCACAAAAACCATCTCAGGGAAGCTCATCTGCATGCTAGTCATCCTCATTTGACCTGACTGCAGCATCGTAACAGACTTCAGTGGGCAAATGCTTACCTTCAATGGCCACTGGCACTCTGGAGAAGTGTGCTCTTCACGGATGAATCATGGTTTCTACTGTACCTGGCAGATTGCAGACAGTGTGTATGGCATTGTGTGTGCGAGTGGTTTGCTGATGTCAACGTTGTGAACAAGAGTGCCCCATGGTGGCGGTGGGGTTATGGTAAGGGAAGGCATAAGCTATGGACAACGAACACAATTGCATTTTATCGATGGCAATTTGAATGCATAGAGATACCGTGACGAGATCCTGAGGCCCATTGTCATGCCATTCATATTTCAGCATGATAATGCACGGCCCCATGTCGCAAGGATCTGTACACAATTCCTGGAAGCTTAAAATGTCACAGTTCTTCCATGGCCTGCATACTCACCAGACATGTCACGCATTGAGCATGTTTGGGATGCTCTGGATCGAAGTGTATGACAGCGTGTTCCTCTTCCTGCTAATATCCAGCAACTTTGCACAGCCATTGAAGAGGAGTGGGACAACATTCCACAGGTCACAATCAACAGCCTCATCAACTCTATGCGAAGGAGATGTGTTGCGCTGCCTGAGGCAAATGGTGGTCACACTGGATACTGATCCACGCCCCTGATTTCCTTATAAACTATGAACTGTAACTCAGTAAAATCTTTGAAATTGTTGCGGTTATATTTTTGTTCAGTGTAATTCAAAGATAAGACTAATCTCTGGCAATTAGTTCAGCCAATTTTCAACTTGAATATTTTGTCATTTATATTTCAATTTTTTATGATCTAATTCAATTCAATAGCTTCCCAGCGTTCTGAAATAGACATCGAGGCCATTGCCATGATAGCAGCACAATATTGTTTACATGCTAGTCATAATACACATTCTGGTAATAGGCAGGATTCTTCAAACGTTTGAAAAGCGCGTCGGCATGAGGAAGCATGCTATTGGCCTCTTTTGCCGCCCTTCACTGGGCACGTTTGAGAGAGTCGGTTTTGAGCAGTTGTTGATCAGCGCTGATCAGCACTTTTCAATACCTGTTGCATGATGGGGATAACATTTTGTCTTACTTGCTCCAAAAAGTGAGATGAGATCTCTGTGATCTAAATACAGTAGGTTTTAAACCTGTATGTCATAAGGTTGGGAAGCTATTGAATCTAATTCAACGATAACACATGAAAAATATTCATGAAAATGAATATGGATTGTTCTACATGCTCCCCTGATTCAGAATATACAATTTTCATAGTCATGGCACGCTTGATTCAATAGCTATAGAAAACCGAATATCCAATATCAAAACTGAATATCCAATATAAAACTAACTTACCAAGGTTGTAATGTTCACTTGAATTAGAACAACATTTATTTCGTTATAGTTATCTTTATAGTTATCAACCTTGGTGTGGATGGCCCTGTAGTAGTTGAAGTTTTAGGCCCATAGACAAGTTTTAATAATTTGGATTCTGTAGAAAGTAAATCTGAATTTAGATCAAATTACTGATGTCTGCTGGGGGCACTGTCATTGTCCAGACATGGCAGTCAGCTGGGGGAGGGGGATGTGAATGCTAGGGGGTGGATTCAGACGCCCCTCTCTGTCCCCCGTCGCTCACTCAGTGAGCAGGGAGACAGGATGATAATCACCCAGGTAACCAGAGGGCAGTCCCCTAATCAGCCCCCTGTGTGTGTGTGTGTGTGTGTGTGTGTGTGTGTGTGTGTGTGTGTGTGTGTGTGTGTGTGTGTGTGTGTGTGTGTGTGTGTGTATGTGTGTGTGTGTGTGTGTGTGCACCCTCATCTGAAAGCCTGCCTTGTCCAAATGTAAATGTACTCATTACTATCTATCTCTCCCATCTGAAGGGCCTCATCCATTCTTCCCCATTGGTTAAAATAGCATTGCAGCTTATTGCAGCTTTAGCTGATGTGTGTCTGCGAGTTCTCTCTTTCTCTGTGTGTCAATTAGTGTCTGTGAGTTTTTGGCTATAGGACAGAATGTTGGGGTTTTAGCAGGTATCCCTTTCCTTGTAAACAATTCGCCGTTCAGTGCATTTCTTTCGATGGGGAGGAAGATCAAAGGTCCATAGTGTCAAATGTTCAGAGATGAGCGTATGTAAGTCTGGCTTTGGGTGGAGCCTCGAGAGGAATCGTGGATATTTCTGTTGCTCCGTAACCAAAACGATTGCTCCTGTGGCAGGAAGTGCCCTTTATGATAAAGGCCAGGATGTTCAAGATTTGTGCCCTGATTAAATGGCAAAAGACACAGATCTCCAATTTGTGAAAATGCACTCAGATTATGATCAAAGGTTTTGCCCTATCATCGTCTCATAAAGCTTAATTTCATAACAAAGACTAACCTTTCTAGCTTACAAGATTAGATTTAGCATCTTTACTTTCTGTGAAGTTCTGGAAACCAACAGAGAGATCAATCAGCAAGATATGAAATCCCTATTGAACATAAAGTACAATGGCAATGTTCAACAACGGCATGACATCAGGTTTTCCTCTAAGCTTTTGTTTGTTTGTACCAGTCTCAATGAAAGCCATATGGCCGTTTTGGTAAATGGAACAAAATGTGGTACGTGCTTCCAAAAGAGTTGCAAACAAATCATCTCCCTGATTAAACCCAAGATATGGGTTTTATGATGTTTGCAGCAGATCTCGAAGCCTTTGGTATAGCTTACTTCAAGATTTTAATGTCACGTGCACAAGTACAGTGAAATGCCTTTCTTTTGCAAGCTCTAAACCCAACAACGCAGTAATCAATAACAATGTAGTACTAAAAAGAACACGAAAGTAAGAAGATATAGAGTATACAGGGAACAATAAGTAAATAAGTAATACTATATACAGGGTCAGTTCCAATACCATATTTACAATGTGCAGGGATACTGGAGTGATGGGGGTAGATATGTATAGGGGTAAGCATACTATATACAGGGTCAGTTCCAGTACCTTATTTACAATGTGCAGGGATACTGGAGTGATGGTGGTAGATATGTATAGGGGTAAGCAAACTATATACAGGGTCAGTTCCAGTACCATATTTACAATGTGCAGGGATACTGGAGTGATGGGGGTAGATATGTATAGGGGTAAGCATACTATATACAGGGTCAGTTCCAGTACCATATTTACAATGTGCAGGGATACTGGAGTGATGGTGGTAGATATGTATAGGGGTAAGCATACTATATACAGGGTCAGTTCCAGTACCATATTTACAATGTGCAGGGATACTGGAGTGATGGAGGTA